ACACTATTCTAAGTGTTTCCTAAAAATTTGGTGTGTTTCTGACTTAAAATGGCTGATATACGGTAACTGTAGTTTTGACAGGCTTCATGCAAATATCCGTTTTTTCATTAAAAATACTCTGGTGACGTTGGAACAACTTCTAGTCAAAAACAAACATTGCCACGTTGGTCAGCACATTCGGTAACCTATGTTTCAAGTCTTTCCGAGATCTTCCAACGTGTCCGGATCGAGTTAGCGTGGTCTCCGGAGAACCTTTCTAACTCCGGAACCTTGTAAGCTAACGACCTGGGACTGCTCTAGAACACCACCTGCAGGTAATTTTGGGACAAAACTTTTTAGTTTTTCTTGTAGCCCCAACATTTTTCTTTTGAACCTCGAAAACCGCAACTTTTTAGCTGCTTCCTAGAAAAAGTTATTGAGAAAATGACCATCCTTTTTCTATTTTGAAATGGATAGTAGTTTGATCGAAATTACTTGATGTTAATATGTTATTTTTTTTTGGTAAGCTTGTTGAATAACATCGACATTCGATAGCATTTTTAGAAATGACCTGAATATAATGCATTTTGGGAGTTTCATGAATTGATTTGGCCGCTTTAAAAATGTCTTCTAACTTTTGTTTTGATACATCAATGTCATTTTTGATGATTTCCATTAAAATGATTGTTTTGGTTATTTTCCGCGGCAATTTTTAAAAAGTCAGGTGCCCAACGACAAACATCTCCGCCTAATACTGCGGACCAATCAACTCGTTTTATACTACCACCAATGCCATCCACAACACCTTTTCCATGTGACGTTGCGAAAAAATGCCAGCTCGTTCTAATTTTGTATTCAGAAGAGAGTCGAATGAGATTTCTAAAATGAAAACGTTGTTTAAATTGTGAGGCTGCGCCCTCATTGAAAAAGCTGACTTCTTTCAGATTTGGTAATATAGTTTTTATATGATTTAAAATTAATTCTAAAGCTGAGTTGACAACGTATTTGTCATGACTTATATCGGAAGATGGCAAAGCAAATGAGAAGCCTTCACTTTTCGACCGAATGTAACTAGTAAAAATAGAAATAGTTTTAGTGTGTCAACGTGAAGACTGAACTTCATCTTGATCCTTTAATCCAAAATTTTCGGCAAAATCGACCTGACAGACTACTTTTTCATCTGTCACTTCCAATTTGAGTTTCTCAAACTAACTAGATTGTTGTCTCTTGACGTATACATGGAATTTGAAATGTTCTACTTTGCCTTTCAAAAGTACGACCACTTCTTCGACAGTTCCCGAATATTCTTTTTTCTCTACTTTACCATTTTCGTTCATCCACTGAGACCATTTAATTTGAGTATCACCGTCAGTTACTTTTAGTTGAATTTTTTTCGAAAGAAATTTTCGCAAAGAAGACACTATGAACATACATTCTTCGTTTTTTGTGTTGTAAACAAGTGAATCAGTGAACATTTGAAGTGAGGAACAGACTTTTCCAGCGACGAATTTATCCAGTGAGTTCAAAAGCAAATTAACATTTTCATGATAAATACAAATACACGATCTATGAGCCAATGCCGCTTTTGGAATGACGAATGGTGGTCTCAAATTAGCAAAAGCAGATGGGCCAACATTAACATTTTTGTTTTCTTCTTTGAAAAGTTCATAATTCTCACGTATATTGTTGAGTAAAATCGTTTTATGATGTGTCGTCTTTTGTCCATTATCTTCTTTCATGACAATCGTATCTCTCTTTCCTGGACATTGATAAGACACATCGTCTCGAATATAGAACTTGAAAATAGCATTTTTTAATTTTTTAGGTAGTTGAACCGAGACACGATGATGAGTAGTTTTTGGCAGTAGACCAAACGTTTGTGCAAGATGTTGAACAAGGACTTTTTTCTTCTTATCACATTTAGGTAATGATGAACTTACCTTTTTTAATCATTTTCCAAAAGACTGCCGACTTTTAAAGGAATTCGGAACTTTTTGATTTACCAAATGTTTCGCTTATTCTTGCGACATTTTTTTTGACAGGCAGTTGCCTTCGCACGAAACTTAGCAAGAGCCGCTCCGGTTGCTTTTGATGAGTTGTATCGGACATGATCTTTTGCTTTTATCATTTCATGTTTTACTTTGTCCTTTTCTAACTTTTCTCGAGATTTTTTTGTTCTCTTCGCTCCACTTTTTGCCATTTTCACACCTCACTCAAGCTCATAAATCAACACACTACTTACTTGTAAATCTGAATAGACGATAAAGACGATTGGCGTTATTCTTCGACGAAAAACTTATATAAGATGGAAACAAATATTTCCTTACATGTACTCTTCTTTTGTATGAGTTTCGTTGGCAAAAGAAAAACAGTGAATGAAAACGCTACATTTTTTTTCTGACGCTAGTATCAGAAAAAGTTCTTTCCGAGTCTCACCCAGAGTCTGGCTACAGAGTATAATATATGCCGTCAAAACTTTCTAAAATTTTGACCTAAAAGGTCCACAATGACTGGAGAACTCATAACCTGAAAGGCATTAGCGCAAAATCGACTTTTTATACGCAGAACAGAATTGGTCCAAATTTTTTTTCTGAAGAGCTTATTATATGAATCGATGGGCAGCAAAGTATCTCTTGATTCAAATCACTTTTCGCATTTTGGCGCGAATAGTGGCGCCACTTAAAACGCGCTACTGTTCGCGCCAAAATGTGAAAAGTGATTTGAATCAAGAGTTACTTTGCTGCCCGTCGATTCACATAATAAGCTCTTCAGAAAAAAAATTTGGACCGATTCTGTTCCCCGTATAAAAAGTCGATTTTGAGCTAATGACTAGTCGTGCATCGCCCGATTACAGACAAAATGTATCTAGATTTTTCACATAGGTGATTTTTGCTTGAGAAGAAAACATCGTAGTTATACATAATCGTTCGTTGATACAGAAGACATTAACAAATCATGACGATAATAATTTAATTTTTGCTGCTTCTTGCATATTCAAGTTGTTTCATCTAAATTAAAAGAAAAAGTAATGATAATGATAACACTCTGTATGTTTTAAAAAAGTTACACGTAATTCAACCGGTTATATCTGAATAGAAAGACCTTTCTTTTTGTTTCATATATATGTATCACACTCTATATTAAACGTTAGACCTGATATCACTAAGCTCTTCAATCTTGTTCAACGTTTTTCTCAGAACATGATTGTGGTCGAGCAGAATTGTAGCCCCTCATAGATGAATCATCGTACATCCTTCGTTCTTGTTTTATTCTGAAGCTAAGACATTTATCTAAATTTTTTCCGTAGCGATTTTTCCAAAATGCGAAAAGTGATTTGAATCAAGAGATACTTTGCTGACCATCGATTCATATAATAAGCTCTTCGGAAAAAAAATGTGAACCGATTCTGTTCTCCGTATAAAAAGTCGATTTTGCGCTAATGTTTTCTCCTGTGCTGCTTGAACATGTTTTATTAAATTAACGCTACTATGGACTCCTTTTGAAGAATCAACACTAGTTCCACGTTTATCTTGCCTGTTGAGTTTATTTGAAAGCATTGTGAGTCGAGCTCTTTCAGCTGCGGGGCGGGGCGTAGTGGCGGCTGCAAAAAAGTAAGTAAAGATAAATATTAATTATTAGAACAATCACTATACTCGCACTAAATGCTTACGCGTGATCCCATTGATGAAAACAATACTGGATTGTGGTTGTGTGGATGACGGTACTGGTTCATCAATATTTGTCGAGATCAGGATCAGGAGAAGTAATAGTGGCATTGGTTGTTACTGTTGTACATTTTGAGGTAAAAAATCAATCTTAAACGGAAAAAATTAAATTTTATTTTTTTAGCCAAAAGGTTTTTATCATCGTATATTTCACGGTCAGAATCCATGAATGGGTTGGGGAAGACTTTTTAGCAGGATAATAAACTTTTTTTGGTGCCTGCAAAAACGTACTTGCCTTCATAATTTTCGCGTATACCTGAGGGTCTCGCACCTTGCAAAAACGTGAAATCGGCTGAAGTTTACGGAATCTTTTTCTTGAAACTTGACGAATTTTTTGCTAAGTATGATCATAACTCGTAGTTTCCTTTTGCACAATTTAGTGCAATGGGAAAATGCGTAGTTGGAGAAGTACAGCGTATGAAAGGTCGGAAGATCGAATCCAGGAGAAGAACACCTAAAAATTGTTCCAAAATTAGATTTTTTTCTGAATATGTCCCGTTTTAGAGCATTTTTCGAAGTTTGTAGAGCACTAGAAAAAAAAGCCTAAAAAATGTAATTCCATCACGACGTCTGTTTTCCTCATAAAAACCGTTCTACCTAACCGGCTCATTCGAAATTTTACCACAAACCAAGCATTCTACCGCACATCGCTAATAAAACTTTCGCCATCTTTTGTTCAGTATTTGAGGAGAAAGAGAGCTCATAAATTGAAAAAATGTAATTCCGTCACGCGCGTTTAAGCCGCACTGTTTTCCAACATTGTTAGCGATACAACTAATGGTACTTTTCGATATACATAGATTCATTTCAGATAATTCTTGTTGTACCACAGAGTATGACTATTTCGTCGTCAGAAGGTATATGTCGATCCCTTTAGTATCATCAGATATTTTATTACGAAGCATTCATTTACCTAAATTATAAATACGATGACAACATCTGCATGGTCAGTAGGGTAGGCTGATATCAGAATCATGAGATCTGTGTAAGTCACTAACGAAGAACACGCTCATGCAAATCGTTTCAAAATAAATGGAATGACCTGTAGTTACTATCCTTTCCATCTTTAGACTAAATCCTGAGCCTCCCCAGTCGAAATATTCATCAGATGTAGTCCAAGAACTTTTTATCCGTTTTGCAGCATAATTTCAAAAAAATTCGATCCGCTGGAAGAGGAAAAATATATTTCATAATGGATAAAAATCGTGATAATAGTTTTGTGGACAACCTATGCTTTAACATAATTCGAAAAAGCATATATTAAATTCCCGTAGTACTATCCGTTCAAGTCTCCATGGTTCACAATGATAACACCGATCTTCTATTCAAAGATAAATGAAAATAGTGAAATATGTATAAACGGTCTCGATATTCAATGGAATCCACGCCTCATGATGAAATATATGACTGATGCAATATTTTCGCTTTTGAAAGAATCATTTGTAGATCATGCATAACGTCCCAACAAAGCCGAATTGTATTAGAATGATCGTGGGGAATATTATAAAGAAGCAAGAAAAATTCGTTCACTGTAATATAAATTTCATCGTCTACTTTTGTTTTTGTACTATTAACCCTTTGGATGTAGGTGACGCAAATATGCGTCAAATAAACACGAGTATTTATAAAACTGTAAATATACATTAATTTATGATCAGGTATACAGCAAAATAGAGATTTTAATTTTTTCAAAAAAGAACCCACAGTCCTAGGGTTAACACACATTTATATGTTTCCAAAGCTAAATCAAATTGATTTTTCTTACAGTTTTATGAATATTTATTACTTCCCTAGTGAAGCTTTTTTTCTCAAGCACATGAGCAAGCACATATCTCGAGATTTGTCTCCATGCACATGAATTTCTTACTCATGCAAAACGCTTGAGATATGTACTTGACTTTCTTGTCTCATGCGCTTGAGTTGCTTGAAGTATGCGCATGAGGGGAGAAATATCTAAAACAATGTGCATACCTCAAGAAACTCAAGCGCATGAGACAAGAAAGTCAAGTACATATCCCA